TTACTGTATTTGATATGAGAGACAAAATATTCAGAGTATTCCACGAGGCGTCATATGTACCAAAGTGAGTGTCACACTGACACAACCTCTGTACTCATCTGTGTGGTAAATATAGTTCTCCAGTTTAGTATTTAGTAACAACAGTACATTGAGACATGCACAGTAAGATTAAAGTTTGTATTAACCTTCTTCCTCCAAGCTCCCTTTCCGCCTGGCACTGCTTCACACAGCCTGTTGATGGCTTCCCTAATTAGGGGAATGAAGAAAGGTCAAAGGTCAGACTATAGTGGACACTGTCATCTGTCCATCCTATTTGTGTAAATGCTGTGCTGCCACTTCAGTGTTTGTGTGACCTGTCTTCTTTCCAGTTCACCATGCTGGAGAGGAAGTAGTGTGGCTCAGGTCCTACCTGCTCAACATCCTCCTGGATCCGAACTCTTCGTGTATATCTCTATTTTGTCCTAATAATTTGTATAATGATTTTTGAACTATTCTGTACACTATTGCATGTCTGTCCATCTTGGGAGACGGCTCCCTTTGTGGTTCTCTTCTTGAGGTTTCTTCCTTTTGTCCCTGTTAAAAGAGGTTTTTTTGGTTGGGGTTGGGGGGCGGGGGTTTCTTAACCAAATGAAGGGTCTTAGAGGATGTTGTATTCTTTAAAGATTGTAAAGCACCTTGAGGCAATTGTGATTTGTGATTCTGGGCTATAAATAAACTTGACTTGACACACTGGCCACTGATTGAAATGGCTACAAGGACACATTCATTATTCTAAAAATTATGTGGATTCCTGTTTACTGTGTACCCAAATATTAAAGTACCCCTCCACTCAAAAATATATTTTTCTTCTTGTTCCTAAAGTGTGATGTTTGAGCTTCACTGTGCAGAATGATGTTTGCGCAGAGTTTGACACTAGAAGGATGTTTCCACATTCATCTTCTGAAAGTGGAAAGTTTCTATGTGCTCATTGAATATCTGATTTTAAGGGGCGGGGCCTACAAGCCTGATTTGTTACATCACAAATAATTAGTGAGTCAGTCCTGTTCCAGTATGTAACTTATATGAGTGTGATGCAGAAACTTGAAGCCACCAGTGCACATACACTGAGAATTTTACAGTGAGGTAGGAGACATCTTGTGTCCAGCAGGAAAACCTGACACTAAAAATTAACAAAATTAGCGTATTCATAGATTCTGGAATTTAATGAGGCAGAGGGAGTAGATGCTATTTTAAGGATTTTCTGTTCCGAGTATGTCTTTACATGTCTGGAGGGAATCAATACCGGTCCAGTGACAACAATTTAGGGTGTATAACTCAGAATCAGAATCAGAATCAGAAATACTTTAATAATCCCAGGGGGAAATTATTTTTGTTACAAGACTCCAGTTATACAAACAACATATATTATAACTGTACTATAACAGTATACTATAACCCTAACCCTAACCCTATAATAACTGAGATTAAAAGTTTGAAATGTTAAACTGGTGTTCAAGGTTACAAAAAACTGCTGAAATCACCATGATGGAAAAAAAAACAGAGGTTAAACATGAACAGAAGCTTTGTGTTCCCTCCCTCAGGCTGAAGTCAAAGGTCACAAACCCGACACAGTTCACAGGTCAAGAAAAGGTTTTCAGCAGGTCTGTTCACAAGTACTAATCTAGTTCTTGCCACTGATGTTCAAGGACTTAGACAACACTAATTAGAATTAGGGGAGGAAGAAACACTATATTTTGAGCCAAAATAACGTGTCAAAGGTCTGTGCAGTTCCACATCTTCTACTGGTTCTTTAGGGCATCATTATTCACATTTATTTTCTACAGGGCAATTCTCTCTGCAGATTTGTTACCACTTTGCAGTGAAGCTGCCATAACTCCTGGGAACGGCTGCCTAATGGTCGTTTAAAGCTTCTGTCCCCTGTGTGTCTGATGGCGGGAGTGAGGCATAATGTGGATTTCAGGTTGCAGCTCGCGCTCTCACTGCCAGGGGACAGCGGGGACAGCAGTCAAGAACCCAGCTGCCCCTATCAAGTAGCTCGTAAATATTTAAAAAGCAGCGTCCCGGGCCCCATCTCGAGTAAAGGTCTTCTCAGGGATTTTTGAAAAAACACCACAATGTTTGAATGACTCATGCTGATGAGAGGGCAGAGGGAGGAGGAGGAGGAAGAGGAGGAGGAGGAGGAGGAGGAGGAGGAAGAGAGATGGGCTGTTGTTGTTGTTTTTGTCTGCAGCCTTGGTATCTTCCCTGCAATAAAATGCTGGGCCTCATTATCACTGGTGTTGCTGTTTAACACCGTGACACAGGGAGTACTGTTGAGCTGAAGTACATTTTTGAAATTCTGACAAGCACTGGATGTTTTGTTGTGGTTTTCCAGGACTAAATTGAGTTGTGTACAAGTCAGCAAGCTAAAAAAAAAGGCCAGCTATGGATGCATAATAAAGGCTCTGACTTTAGTGTGCTGCTTTTGAAATCCACCCAGCAACAATTAACATAGAGAGAAATATCCTGTAAAGTTGGTTAGATTAATTGTCATTGATTTTTGGCCATGTGGGACAGATGGTCTGTCCCATGTTCCTCAAAAAATCAAAAACCTCTGTGTCGTTAGCATCAGTGGAAAATTTGGATTCAACTAAGGGCAAGCACACTGAAAAGTGACTATATAGTCAACAAAACATCACCAATGCACTACTACTACAAGATAACCTGATGTAGTCAGCTCATGCTCTGTATGGTTTCTCCCTTTGCTAATGTTTTGTTTTGCTGTTTTGTTTTAAACCCCCACCCCCCCAAGATGTTACAACCGCAGACATTATCCAGCAGGGTGCGTTCATGGGGACCACTGCAGCTTTCCACAGTCATTAGCAAACATCATCAATAATAGATCTGCCTCTCTATCACTCCATCTCTGCTGCCGCCTCCCCCTGCACTTAAGCCTTGGATGCACGGTGGGCTCCGATTACTGCTCATCGATTGTGGAGGAGAGAGAGGAGGGTGAGAGACAAGGAGGGAGTGGGGAGAGTGCACTTCCCCCATGAGGCCGAGGATTGCAAAGAACCCTGCATTTATAACAATAACATCACATGCGGGGCATAAAAACACACTGACACGGACATACTAAGACCCAGAGGTATAGTTTCATACATAAACATATCATGACCTGTCATGCTACTGAGCACGTGTACAGTAGTTTTGTTTGTCTCTTAACTGGGACACAAGGCACTTTAATGCTGCTATTGTGCAAAACCTTGTGACTTTAGTTTTGATTGAAATTTTTTAGCCTTGTTTGAAGAAATGGACTATAACTTCAAAATTGTGTTGCTGTCAATGAAACAAGAATGTGTCTCTACATTTCCCTAAACCATATTTCTTTATCTTCTTTAGAAAATCTAACCACTCGTACTCTAAGTAATAGCCCACAATTGACACACCACTGCTAATTTGATTTCATCGTGACTGATTCTTCACTTAATCCTATACATTGTGAATCAAATTCTCCTGACTCACCACCACTACCACTAGAGATAGTTACAAGCTTACCTTGTCACCTGAGTCCGCGTGTTGAAGTCCAGGGAGCGCATTGACTTCAGTACTTCAATGCAGCCCATGTACTGCAAAAAGAGTCGAACCAAACAGTAAAATTAAAACAAATTTTAAAATGTGGTAGTATGTCAGGGTCATTGCAATCATCTAAAGGGGACATTTCCAAAGTAAATACAGTAATGTAAAGTAATCCTCTATTGTTCAGCATGACAATGTCCAACAATGCCTCATAATCTAACTCAAATCCACATAAAGGCCATTAAAGTGTCTCCAGTGGGTAGCAGCCAGCTGAGCAGCTTCTTAATGGCTGTCAGGTTGAGGTGCTAATGGCACCTTGACTAGATTAGCAGCACTAAGAGCTCCAAATCATGGACAAACTGCAGCACCTTAGGCCTCCGGGGATGCTAAGGGCTTGAGTGTGTTTGTGTATACAATCAGTGTATGGGAGGATGCCCGGTACTTATTTGCATAACTGTGAGGTTTACGTGAAAATATGAAGTGGTGAGTAAAATCTATGACATCACATTTCTGTAAATACCTGTACAGTACATCCATATAATGAACACCTTTATAGGGGCAACTGATGAAAACTGCCCTTCACACTATGGAACATTAACGGCATTCATTTAAATAAACCAATACATAAACACATTTAAGTAAAAGGAGTCACACTGTGACCACCTACTGTAGCATTAGTGACTCTCTTCTAGTGAAACTCTTCAGCAATATATGAGCTTGTGTAATTCATGAACTCTTGCACCCTCTCCCTCTCCCCCTCTCCTACAGCACTTTGTATCAGTCAATGTCATATTTAGTACAGTTTCAAGGATTGTTAGTGACTGCAACAGACAGCAAACAAACAACATGGCAGCCGTGCAAAGAGAGAGAGAGAGAGAGCAACCTTTGAGCCTAAGAGCTTAATGAGCTTTCTAACCAGATTTGGAGACGGGGGGAAGTCTTCCATCAGAAATTGTCTCTCTTTTTTCTTCCCCGCTCTCTGCCAATGCCTCCATTGTCACACACTCATCTGCTGATACAACGCATCCCCTCTTCTATCACCCTATCTGCA